AAGAGACCTCTTCAGACGGATCTTTTAAATATTAAATAGAGAACTACCATTCTAGCCTATCTGAAAGGTCCAAGCAGGTTACAAAGACTAAATAAAACTATTTCTATCTCAATTGTTTTTCTCTTCAAGGTAGATGTGATTTCATAACATATTTAATGAAATTATATTTGTTTGAAATTACGCTAAATGCTAACCACATAGCGCTGGAGGAGCTGGCTGAGGATTATCAATAGGCAAAATTGCCAGGTGCCAATCGCATTCAGATTACGAGTCTTTGGCTGGATTGAAGTCAAAAACAAATTACGTAACGAGTCTAACTAATACCATAGCATCCCAATATTGGCTAAGGAAACTTCTTGACCTACCTATCAGCTTAAACATGCACGTACTATTATTATTCTTGATCGGTGTCACTGCTTATGCAACAAGTCGCATTTCAAACAGGTTTCCCAGATTTCAAGCCGCTAATTTTGGCGAGAAGATGGACGGGAGACAACTCAACGGGAGCGTGATAAAGGAGATAGAGGTGGAATCAGAAAGTTCTTGTAGATTGGAGTGTGTCAACGAAGAGCGATGTAAGTCTTACAACTTTGGAGGCAAAAAGAACAAATCTGAGAGATGGAAGTGCCAGATCAGTGACTCGGATCGATTTGAGAGGCCAGCCAGGGCCAACTTCATTGAGAACAAAGAGTTCAGTTACAGAGGGATAAAGGTATTTGCATTGCATTTCAAAAGATTTTGGCGACCGCCTAGATATACGAACAAATTCCAGAAAATGACAGTTGATGATAAAAGAAAATAATTTAATAAAATTGCAGAATTGCATCTAAGGAGGCTCTATAGTGTATTTTTCTCAATGTTGGCGCGCACGCCATCGTATTGTTTTTGTAGAAAAGTTTTATGATTTTGCCTTTCAAGGTCATTAAGAGCCATCAAAAGGCGATGAGCAAGGTTCGGACAATCGTTTGCTGTAGCAATTTTTATCAAAATGATTTTCGTTATGAAGCTAAGGCTCGACGAACGGAGGCACTCGCCAAAGATAATTCTGCTTTGCAATTTGCTTCGACGAAATCTTTCGAAATGTTCACAATTTGTGAAATTTGTCCTGCCGATCATTTAAAAGTTGGAGAAAAAGGGTTACAAAGGCAGTTTCCTCGCTATTTGCAATTTTTTGTTATCTTTCTCCATCTCAAATTTGGTCCTATGAATTGTTTTTATCAACAGGCACTAGGAAGGGCACAAATATGTTTAATGGTCCAACAAATCTTAGGAAATTCCATCTAAGGAAACGCGATAAATCTTGCTCAAAAGATCCCTATTTTCTCTGTCGCAGAACATTACGTAATGGAATAGAACTTCGCTAGGATCTACATCTGAGCATGCGTAAACTTTCGAGTCTGTCGCGTTTTGGCAATCTTTCCCACTGTGTTTTGTTTTCGGTTGACCTCTTTTTTCAGGCCTATTGAGCCGCCACGTTATTTTGTCAGTTTAAAAGCTCGCCCTATGTTCGCAACCAGATCTCGCGCGATCAAAAAACCCTATGGAGCCTCC